CGGCCCCCTTTGTCTCCCCAGCACACGGTGTATGTATGCGTACACACGGTGTGTGTACGCATACACACAGTCGACCTAGGGGGAGGCCCAGGACCGATTAAAATAATCGTCACCGGTGTTGGCCGTGAGCGGGAATCGAACTCGGGTCGCCGGGTTCGTAGCGCAGCGCGCTAACCGCTGCACTCCTAAGACACACGCACTAATGCACATGAAGACACACACACAGATCCACCGGATAGACGTCAACTATTTTTTGGGAAAGTGCTGTTAGCGAGTAGCACCTGTGACGGTGGGCACGGCACACGAGGGGGTGGGCGGCCGCCAGCAGCCTTCGTCTCCCGAGTGGCGATGTTTACTACACACCGCACCGGGTCCTCGATTTGAGGCTGAGCCGACCTAGAGCGAGGCCCAGGACCGATTCAGATAGTTGTCACTCGTGCTGGGCGTGAGTGGGGTTCGTAGCGCAGCGCGATGACCGGTGCACTTCCGCTCAGCCTTTGACGCACACTCACGCATCATTGCACGGTACTGTACACGCTACAGAGACAAAAGATTCCCCCGTAACTCCGTTTACAGACTATTGGGGCAAGTGCCGCACGAGAGCAACTATTATTGACACGCGACGCCAAGCGTAATTTTTTATCACTGGGAAACACCCTCCACACCCTACACACACACATTGAAACCGCGTTTCGATATTTGTCGCTAAACCATTGCGATCGACGGTGTCGTCGTGCCGGTGTGGGAGCATTGTGGGTGACGGCGAAGACGATGACGACTCGGTTTGTGCGAGTCATCGCGAGTTCATCGGCCTGTCGACTCGACCGCGCCAACATTACGCAGCACCAGAGGCGGAGTGCAGTGGAATGCAGTGGTTCGCTTTGTCCCGTCGCATTAGGAATCTAGGGTGCATTAATTCATTTTTGATAATAATCGTAAACTCCTGAAAGTTCGCCCGTGTCCAGCAATTCAAACACTGGTTTCGATCGGTTGGGTCTCATCAGCAGAGTAGTAGGCGTCCAAGTATAGTTGTTGTTATACAATCAACATCAGGGCCGAGGCTTGTTAAACCGGGTCGTCCATGCTGTTGGCAAGAGCACTCCATATAAACTCCGGGGCCCTGTTCAACACCAAATACAAAAACAACAAAAAAAAAACGGCGTTGTTTAACCGAAGCTCATTGAGCGTCTCCGCGCATAAAGTGCAAAATAACAAAAGATAAAACTCCAACGCATCCGCCAACAATAATCACTGCGCGTGTGGCCTTCCAAAGAAAGCGGAACTCAACGGGCGACGCGCCGTGCGGGACCCTTCCTCTCGGCGCATCGAGAGAGGCGTATTCAAGAGTGGCGTCACGTATAAATATATATACACGGCACTGCAATTGAAATGTTTATGAAATCTGAAATAATGCTCAGAGTGATTTCCCCGCACAAGTGAGCTCATCTCCCGTTCACAGTCATAAGCCAGTGGTGGAAATTCCACTTTCATATGGCGGGCAGGGGTGGGGTGGTTTTATCCATAAGATAACCATTTGTTGACTTCCCCACAAAATGGAACCAATTTTATAGACCCTCCCAACCGGGAAGTGTGATTGGCTCTCCTGCTGAGCCACCTGACCAGATCACGGCGGGTGATAAGTAACCATCATTCGCACGGACTCGGTGAACTGTTACGCGGGCAATTAATTTATCCATTCCAATGCACGGCCTATACGTGAATTGCCCCAGAATTGTTTTACGGACAACATTATTTCCGAAAAGGTTTTGACTGATAAAATTGCCCCGAGCGCGCGTGAGCAATTAGCGACAGCATTTCTACTCGAGCGCGCGTTCACGTTCACATTTGCCCCAACAGACTGTTGGGGCAAATGCTGTTAGCGAGCACCTACGAAGGCCGGAACGGCACACGAGGGGGTGGGTGGCCAGCACCACACCGGGACGCCTTTGTATCCCCAGTGGCGATGTTTACACACCGCAGCAGGTACTCATTTTAGGCTGAGTCGACCTAGGGGAGACCCACGACCGATTCAGATAATCGTCACCGGTGTTGCTCGTGAGCGGGAATCGAACTCGGGTCTCCGGGGTTTTGTAGCGCAGCGTGCTAACCGCTTCACCACCGCTCCCCACACAATCGGCTACACATCGTATTGGTGCAGGCAGTGTGTGTATGTACGTGGGGCAGGTGCGACCCCAATTCGAGTCCCGGTCACGGCTATCATCAGTGGCGAGCGCTATCCGACCCGGGATCTGAACTCAATCCTGCAATAAACCCCACCTCGGTCGACTCAGCCTTACGCCTGTATAGGAAGTACCTGGTGCGGGTGTGTACAAATCGCCATTAGGGAGACAAAGGCGGTCGGGCGTGGTGCTGGCCACCCACCCCCTCATGTGCCGTGCCGGCCTTCACACGTGCTACTCGCTAACAGCACTTGCCCCAACAGCCTGTTAAGGCTACACGGGAGATATTTGTCTAACGCTCGCATAAATAAACGTTGCGTTATGGCTTGAGTCACGTGGTATGTATGGAAGTTCTAGAAGGGCTAGAGCAACGACGCGTTATGGATTGAGTCACGTGGTATGTATGAAAGTTCTAGAAGGGCTAGAGCAACGACGCGTTATGAAATGAGTCACGTGGTATGTATGAAAGTTCTAGAAGGGCTCTAGAGCAACGACGCCGAGTGACGTAAATTATCATGATGATGATTCCAGAAGGGTTCAAAGATTTAGGGCTGGGACGAATGTTGATTTGGTTTCACTCCGGGCAGGATCTCCCGCTAAACTCTCATTACGCACAGTACCATCCCCATCAGCAGCGAACCGAGTAATTCGCCTCCCGTGGAGTGTGACGCTAAAGCCGATATCAATCTGGTAAAATCCACTTAGGGCAACTAAAATATACATATATATCAAAACAAAGATCCCCGAACAGCCTTTAACATAGTGTTGGGGCAAGTGATATTCGCGAGCACCTTTTATATGAAGGCCGGTACGGGTGCAAGAGTGTGTTAGGTGACCAGCACCACGCCGGACCGCCTTTGTCTCCCCAGTGCTGGTTTGTGCACTTTGCAAACCTGGTCCTCATTCCGCGATCGAAGGGCCCTGGTGGAGGCCCAGAACCGAGCTCGGATTGCCAGCTGCACCGCGCATGCAGCGCTAACCACTGCACCACCGCTCCTTACCTTACGTGTGTGTATACAGTACACACACACTGATTTCTTTGACCGAAACGCCCCCCTTATTAGATATATATATATATTTTTGTTCCTTTTAAGGCTACAGTGTTACTGACTAACGCGTTGAGCGTTGTTAATTATTAATGATAATCTTCAACTCCTGTGTCAATCCGCGGCTTTGATGGAGGCTTCCCCACGCCTTGTCTGTGGTCACGGGGGTTTGCCTGTCCATACTTCACCACTGTGTTGTTGCGTTAGGGGTAAGAGAGGGGGGGGGGGGGTGATAGGACGACTGTTCACTCTGTCGCTCGCGCCGAACACTGCGCTCACCCCCAACGAGAACGCGCGGCACGGAATCGCGGAAGCCCAAAACGGAGTCAAGGGATTACGCGGGCGGCGCGTGCAAGTCACCTGCGGCTTACCTGGCCACGGCGCGTGCATGTCACCTGCGGCTTACCTGGCCACGGCGCGTGCGTGTCACCTGCGGCTTACCTGGCCACGGCGCGTGCGTGTCACCTGCGGCTTACCTGGCCACGGCGCGCATCCAGTGGCACTGCGCGGTAACCTTGAATCTAACGGCCCCGGGGACTCGCCCTCGTGTCGACTCGCACGGACACGTGCTTCGGTGTCTGCACCGCACCGCCGGTGTTGCTTACACACATTGCGGGTGCGTGCGCTCTCGCAAACAGCTCACGCCCGGCCGCCTTTGTCTCCCCCAGTCCGTGCTGCTGGCAGTGCCACCGCGCGCGAGCGGTTTTGTGTGCGCCGTGCCAAACCCCTAATAGGTGCTCGCAAACAGCAGCAGAAGCAGCGATGTTTTCAAGGTGGCTCTTGTGCTTGTAAGTGGCGCTAATGTTAATGAATGGCTGTGTTGTGTGTCTCTCCCTCCCCTCTATCTCTCCTCCCCTCTCTCTCATCCCCTCTCGCTATCTGCGAGAGTCGTCTCTCGTGTTCCCACTCATGAATCCCCTCCTCCCTCCTCCTGCAATCTTCATTTCTGTCCATCGTCTTGTACACCTCCCCCCTCCTCCATCCCCTCCACTCCTCCACCTCCCCCTCCACCACCGCCATCCATGCCCGCTATAATTTCGTTCTGACGTTGTCCGTGTGTCTGTCCGTCCGATTGTTTTTTTTTTTCTCTCTGTATACCTCTGTCTCCCCTATCTGCATCCACGCTTGTGTTTACACGTACGTGTGGTTGTGTCGTTTTCACGTGTGTCTCTAACACGTGTGTCTCTAACACGTGTGTCTCTAACACGTGTGTCCCTGACACATGCCTGACTCGACACACGTCTGTCTGTCCTGTGTCGACTGTCTGTACATCTGCCCGTCTCTCTTCCCTCCACCGTTCCGCGATGTCTCTCTCCTCCCCGCGCCTCGCCTCCTGCCCGTCGGCTTCCACTCTCCCCACGCTTCGATCTGCCGACCTTCTATCTTCCTTATCTGCCTCCTCCTCCTCCTCCACGTCCCTCGCTGTCTCTCTCTCCCATCCTCACGTCTGTCTCTATCTGCGTGTATCATCGATACGTCTCTCGCTCCGTGTATCATCGATACGTGTACCGCCTTCCATCTCTCTCATCGTGTCTTCGTATTTATTCTCCCCCCCCCCTCATCATCATCTCACCATCTCTCTCCTATCTCTTTGTCTCTCTATCTCTGCGTCTCTCTATCTCGTTCCTCGGGCCCCCCTCTACCCCCCCACCTCACTGCCCTCCCCAATTTCACTTCCTCCGTCCATCTCTTCGTCTCTCTCCTCTGTATCCCCCCCCCCTCTCCACCCCCCCGCCCCCTCGCCTCCAACTCTCCCCTGTCGCTGCCTCAAGAGAAGCGGCTGGCGTCCGTGTGCGTTGGCTGCGGCGCCCAGATCCGCGACCCCTTCATCCTGCGCGTGTCCCCCGACCTCGAGTGGCACGCATCGTGCCTCAAGTGCGCCGAGTGCGCGCAGTACCTGGACGAGACGTGCACATGCTTCGTGCGGGACGGCAAGACCTACTGCAAGCGCGACTACGTCAGGTGCGTGCACGTGGTGTGTGTGTGTCTGTGCGTGCACGTGGTGTGTGTGTCTATGCGCGCACATGGTGTGTCTGTGCGCGCACGCGGTGTGTGTGTGTGTCTGTGCGCGCACGTGGTGTGTGTGTGTGCGTGCACGTGGTGTGTGTGTGTGCGTGCACGTGGTGTGTGTGTGTCTGTGCGTGCACGTGGTGTGTGTGTGTCTGTGCGTGCACGTTGTGTGTCTGTGCGTGTGTCTGTGCGCGCACGCGGTGTGTGTGTGTCTGTGCGTGCACGTGGTGTGTGTGTGTGTCTGTGCGTGCACGTGGTGTGTGTGTGTGTCTGTGCGCGCACGCAGTGTGTGTGTGTGTCTGTGCGTGCACGTGGTGTGTGTGTCTATGCGCGCACATGGTGTGTCTGTGCGCGCACGCGGTGTGTGTGTGTGTCTGTGCGTGCACGTGGTGTGTGTGTGTGTCTGTGCGCGCACGTGGTGTGTGTGTGTGCGTGCACGTGGTGTGTGTGTGTCTGTGCGTGCACGTGGTGTGTGTGTGTGTCTGTGCGTGCACGTTGTGTGTCTGTGCGCGCACGTGGTGTGTGTGTGTGCGTGCACGTGGTGTGTGTGTGTGTGCGTGCACGTGGTGTGTGTCTGTGCGTGCACGTGGTGTGTGTGTCTGTGCGTGCACGTTGTGTGTGTTTGTGCGCGTGCTGCGTTACGAACCTGGCGACCCGAGTTCGATTCCCACTCACGGCCAACACCGGTGACGATTATCTGTACAAGGTCCTGGGCATCATCCCTTAGGTCGACTCAGCCTCAAATGAGTACCTGGTGTTGTGTGTAAACATCGCCACTGGCGAGACAAAGGCGGTCGGGCGTGGTGCTGGCCACCCACCCCCTCGTGTACCGTTCCGGCCTTCATAGGTGCTCGCTAACAGCACTTGCCCCAACAGTCTGTTACAGGCTACGGGGGGGGGGGTGGATCTTTGTCTTTGTGTGTTCTCTAGAGACTCTGTGGGTGTGGTGGGGTGAGCGGGCGGTTGCCCCCGGGGTGCCCCTCCCAAGGTGGTGGGGGCGACGGGGGTGGGAGTGGGGGCACCGCTGGAGTTGGTAACCGGGCGGGAATGGTCAGAACGGAAGCGAGCGGTGGCTGCTGGTGGCTCACGCGCAGTGCTGGTGGGGTGGTGACAGCACCACCGCACTACGGCTCCACCTCAATCTGCTCCTCCGACTCAAACGCCACCGACCCGCCCCCACGCCACTCCAGTCCCCTGTATTATCACCTCCCCCACACCGATTCACCCCACGTCCCACCACCACGTGGAGTTCCAATATCAGTGATGATTAACGGAACCGATCCTGGGCCTCCCCTAGGGACTGCTCGGCCTTAAAGTGAGTACCTGGTGCGGTGTGTCGTAAACATCGCCACTGGGGAGACAAAGGCGGCCGGGCGTGGTGTTGGCCAACCGCCCCCTCGTGTGCCGGCCTTCATAGGTGCTCGCTATCAGTACTTGCCCCAACAGTCTGTTAAGGCTATACGGGGTGTCTTTGTCTTTGTGTACGTGTGTGGCATGAGCAAGCAATGGCAGGGCTTCACCCTTTACCTTCGCGGAATGCAAATATACAAATTACACGTCACGTGTCCAGCGTGTTACCTGTGGATAATTACCGACAGCGCTCATTTAACGTGCACGCTCATTTCCATTACACGGCTGTGGCCTTTCGACGAGACGTTTATAATGTGACCGCGCGTTAATTAGATATAGATGTCAATTAGATATACGGTGCGTGTGCGTGCAAGAGTGGGGAGCGGTGGCATTTGAGACTATCAAATGCCCCAACCCCGCACCTCCCTCCCCCACCTCCCTCCCCCACCTCTGTCCACCCAGCGATTTGAGTGGGTTCGCCAAAGCTGGTCGAACGGCAGGCCACGTATGGTGGGGTAATCTGTGGATAAGGCCCACGTGGGTCTTCCAAGGCGTCTGGCAAGTGTGGAAGGGTAGACCAAGCGCCATCCCTCGAGTGGCTCTCTTTTATACCCCCCCCCCACTCCATCTATTAGGAGGCCCTTTTGACGCGATGTGTGGAACCCCAGCCAACTCCTGCCAATGACTTAAAACTAAACTGAAAACTAAACAATTTTTTTTATTTTAACAGGTAAGGCCCCACTGAGCCATATAGCTATTTTTCAGAAGCGGCCTCGCCATCACAAATGATAGCTCAGCGAAGTGGCTCATCATCACGTGGGGATTTATAGCAGCCAAATATTCGAAACGCGTGATGTTGATTCTAAATGTGGAGGGGAAAACACGAGGACCCGGATACAAAATCCACACGACTACGGAGAGAGAGAAAACATCGCAAACTCCAAATATGCAGGCGTCAGGGTTGTGCTCGAATACCCGACCTCCTGTCTACCAGGCGAGGTAGTTAACATCTCACCACCGTGACTTCACGGGACCTTTAACGTCCACTGTCAAGCAGACAGCGGCGTAGCATTATTATTCTTCCGCTTATCACACCGGCAGTATGAATCAGGGCGGCCGAGTGGATTCGAACCGTGAATTCCAGCAAAAGGGGGCGAACGCCCTACCGCGTTGTCCATACGCGGGCCCCTTTTACAACTTCGACAGCGGCGCTGTTGTTGTTGCTGGCGACATGGCGTGCTGGGCCTTGGCGTCCGTGCCGCGCGATCCACACCCTGTGCGTGGCGTGCGCGACGATGGCATCGTGGGTCACGTGGCGTACTTGAACCCACGTGGGGGTGGGGGGTGATGCCCGCCCGTCAGCCCGGGGGATTCACCGCCACGATCGCCGTTGTGACCTCACGAACCACGTGGAGCAGCAGGAGCGTCGAGGCCCCCCTGACGGAGCCTCTGCCTCCTACCTCTTCCTCCGCTCCTTCCCCATCCTCTTTACTCTCATTCCCCATTATTTATCTTCTTCTTATTATTCCTCCCTCGTCCCTCTCCCGTTCCTTTCTCTTTTTCCCCGTTCAATGGCGTCCGTGACTGTCGCTCCCCCTCTCCGCGTGGTGCTGCCCGCGGGGTACAGAGTTGCTGAGATTTTATTCATTAGCGGCGTATCTTGGGTTACGTCTCACGGCGTGCCTTTTAACGCCGAGCGAACTGCGGTCGAAGGACGTTTACCATTAAACCGTTGTTACGGCAAAGCACCAACAAAATAAGATATCGAGTACAATTGTGGTGAACGATTACAAAGGTGGATTGAATTGATATCGCGATAAAAAATCGCCATCGTTAAAAATCTCGTCTCGAGATATTAAATCGCGACAACACCATGACACACGTGTGTATATATACAGTATATACACGCATATACTGTATATGCATGTACACACACATATACAATATATCCGTGTAGCGTTTAACAAGGCCCGACAGTGCTGTTAGAACGGCACACAAAAGGGTGAGTTGCCAACGCCACACCCGGCCGCCTTTGTCTCCCCAGTGGTAATGTTTACACACCGCACCATGTGCTCATTTAAGGCTGAATAAACCGAGCAGATGCCAACTATTTTGTAATTGTGTCTCCGGGTTCGTAGCGCCGTTAACCAACTGGCCTCCCGCTCGCCCACATATATATACAGTATATACACAAAGACAAAGATCCCCCGTGTAGCCTTAACAGGCTGTTGGGGGCCAGTGTTGTTAGCGATCACCTATGAAGGCCGGCACGGCATACGAGGGAGGTGGGTGGCTAGCACCACGCCCGGCCGCCTTTGTCTCCCCAGTGGCGATGTTTACACACCGCATCAGCTTTATACAATTTAGGCTGAGTCGACCTAAGGGAGGCCCAGGACCAGCTCTGATAATCGTCACCGGTGTTGGCCGTGAACGGGAATCGAACCCGAGTCGCCAGGTTCGGAGCGCAGCGCGCTAACCGCTATACCACCGCTCCCCACACATATCCATTCACATTCATAGACATCGCGTACTGTACATATATAGTGCATAGTCTGCATCATTACCATGCACATATACACAGTGTATATACACACAATATGTAATATACATGCATGCATTTTAAAATATGCATAATGCATATGTATACGTAATAACCAAGCGATACATTATCAAGCATGTACACAAAACGCGTTCCTGTTGCATGTACGTACGCTGAACTTCGTGCGCACCGTACGTAGCCAACCGTTGCCAATCGTAGGTGAAAATACACATACATTAATCGTACTGCACGTGAATATGCGCATTCATCCACAGTACGTAACACGTGCACGTGTACGCACCGCAAATGTTGCACACAGTTGGTAGATGCGTCCTTGTGTAGTGTTCATTCACGGTAGATGTGTACATAAAGGGCCGTCCATAAATGACGTCACGCACCTGGGGGGGGGGGGTGTCAGACATTTGTGACGATGTGTGACGAGGTGGGGGGGGTTTGAGAAATGTGACGTCACATCAAAATGCGCAACTTTAAATAAATATAGACAACCACGTTCTAGTTAATTAAATAGACTTTTTAAACAGGTCCCTGCAGGGTGGGCTGGTAGGACAAGTCTCTGCGCTGTCTATTGCTGATTTTACACCCGACAGCACGAGATTTCACTTCGTTAAAGTATTGAAAGGGGACGGACGGACGGACACATTAATCTATTGCAGGCTGGTACACTCAGTTTACAACTTCGTTCCTACCAGTATAAATGTTTTCTCCTACAACATCAGAGTGCAGCGCCACATTAAACACGCACTACAATGACAATAGTTTAAAGCGATTTGAAGCATGTTTTATATATTTTTTTCTGGGGGGGGGCAGAGCTTTGTGACGTCATATTTGAGGGGGGGTCTGACTGTTTGTGACGCCGTGTGACGAGTGAGGGGGGGGTAAAAAATCGTCCAAAATCGCGTGACGTCATTTATGGACGGCCCCTAAAGACGTGCTCGCCGCGTAGGCAGTCCAAATGCCGCGCGTGCGTTCACGCGCACACGCAGCGCTCCACACAACACGACTGTCGGAGCGAGTGCTGTTGACGGGCACCTACGAAGGCCGG